CTGAGTGGAATCGATACGTGGGTGGTGATGCGTTTTTTTTTTACGACAATGAACGGAATTATTGAGACTGTATAGTGAGTTGAAGGAAGTTTATTTTCACACGTGCTCCATGCCGAAATCTTTCTTAATTTGACTATTTCAAGTTTAATAAATTTGACTTTAGCACAGCAACGAAATTTTCGATCAGAAACAACAGTTGTGGAGCATTTGTGACTTTTGATTAGAACCGAAAGATTTACTTCGCAAATATACTGATGGATTCTCTCTACAAAAATCTTCTCTACAACGGTTTCCTCCGTATAACGATTTTTTTTGGGTCTCACAGGGTTCTCTTCCAATGTTATATGGGTTCTCTCCTGCAAGATTCTCTTTAGGACGAATTATTTTCTGGTCCTTTGAATTTTTTGCGGAGATCGAGTCCACAATTATTAGCCAAAAACTGTCTTTAATCTTCTTTCAAATGCCATTCTAATTGGGATTGATGTGTGTGCAAATAGTTTTTAGAAGTAAAGTATTTTATGTGACCCGCATGTCGAAATTTTTCATATTCTCAATTTGTTAGCTTTTGAAAATTCTTTCAAAACAAAACTCGCTTGGCTTAATTTCAGCTTGGGTCACATTTTCCCAGTATGTTTTTGGAAACTGCTCGAATGAAAAACAAATTTCTGACTTAAATTCCCGCTCCACGTATCCCATTCAGCAAGTGTAAAATAAACAAGAACCTGTTCGAGTTTAATGTGCAAAATTCCGTTTTCGTTTTAAAGCGAAGCACGAGCACTGCTTAAGGTAAGACTGTAATTTATAGTGAACTTTTTTTTCAGTCAAGTACAGAAAAGGTAAATCTAAAGCTTCGCGAGTGAAATTCATGATACATCTCGCAATATTCGGCCAGTTACAAAGTTTCTTTGGCCTCTGGCTACTCTTTTAATACGCGAACTTTTCCTATCCCACAATACTACTTATGGGTTTTTAAGACCCACGTCCTGAAAGTGCTCTATTTAATGAAGACTCGTCGGTCTGGTCCAGCACACATAATTTCTTCCACCTTCAAAAGAATGAAAAATGCCTGACGTGGGAAAAACCCTTAAATGTCAGCCTTTTCCACGAGAAAATGCCTTCATTGCTCCTAAGCAGCTGAAGGCCACATGTACGCGACTGTGATTCCGAAAGGAAAAGCTGACTCAACGTTTACCAGAAGCATCACCAGCACTTCCTCGCAAGCTTTTTTTTTTCAAACACGAAAAGTTTCTTTGAGNTGATACATCTCGCAATATTCGGCCAGTATGTTTCAAAGAAACCGGAGACCGATGAGAAAATTATGCGCTTGAAAAGGATAGGGTGTTATGATGAATACCCAAAAATTCTGGGTGCAGGACTTTCACGAGATAAATTACTTCTGAGCAGCCAGACGTCCAGCACACATAATTTCTTCCACCTTCAAAAGAATGAAAAATGCCTGACGTGGGAAAAACCCTTAAATGTCAGCCTTTTCCACGAGAAAATGCCTTCATTGCTCCTAAGCAGCTGAAGGCCACATGTACGCGACTGTGATTCCGAAAGGAAAAGCTGACTCAACGTTTACCAGAAGCATCACCAGCACTTCCTCGCAAGCTTTTTTTTTTCAAACACGAAAAGTTTCTTTGAGGAACACAAAACAGTTTTGAAATGATTTGTAGTACAGTACAAACAAAATATGTTTATTCGAAGGATAAAAACATGGAACGCGGAGGACGTATCACTGCCGGTATTCACCACGTAACTTCTACAGTGCTTTCGTTGCCGAGTTTTGAATTCAACTCTTATCGAGTAGCCGAATGTCAGATCAATTGACTGAAGAATTAATTGGAAAATATTCCGCGTGAGGGAGTTGAGTACGAATTATTTAAGACAATTACTGTACGTCGTCTTAAACTCAAGTTACGAACATACAGTATATTCACTGAAAACGCCATCAGGTCCAGAAAAAGGCCCTGCATGGGTGGTACACAGCAGTATAAGTAAATCCACAAGATATGGTACAAATGCACTGCCATTATGTTTCGAAAGTAGAAGTACACTACTTTACTGTGGCATTATCCTCATTTTAAATTTAAACCGTTTCTGAAAAGTACAACTTTCAAGAGAGCCTTGAAAGTGGAAGTACTGAACTGAATTGTATTCTCTGTTTTTTTCTCCATATTTTTCTGAAAAGCGCTACTTTTAAGGCATGGGAATGTCTGTGCACCATCTCCTAGCTTTTATGGGTATGAAGATGAACTGGGATTTTTATTCAAATCAAGGATGCATTAATTTGCTATTACGTATTTTTAAAATGTTCCCTCTTGACCCAACACAAACTTTGAATTTATATGTCTACTGCTTGTGTTTTCTGTGACGTCATTTGTCCAATTCAAGCTGCCAACATTTTACTTTGCTTTTGTCATAATTTCAATTATGAAATTTTGAATTAAATGTAATTCACTTATTTTGCAGCTTTGTTCATGCAGTCAAACCTCTTCAAGCTGAATCTCAAGGGACCAGCAGAAAAGAAATTGAGTAAGGGAAACAAGCATATATTTGTTGTTGTAGAAGAACTACATGAAATTGTAAATGGTGATATTCAAGGCCTTAAATTGCTTCCTACATGAGTTGACAGGATGCTGACCTGTGAGGCAAGGGTTTATTTGCCCAACTAGTCTCATTCATTTTCAAAATACATGTTTATTTTTAATATTTTTCTCTCTCTTTCCTGAGTTAATAAAATGAGAGCCAAAAGGCCTAAGAAAATTTGAGTTACAGAGGTTTGAGAGGGAAAGCCTTCAAGTTGAGAGGTTTTTAATGCACGTTTTCAAAGGGAATTCAGATGGGGACTTCAAAAATCAAGAAGTTCAAGTCAACTTTCAAATTATATACCTGTTGTTCAACCATGAACTAGGAAACCCTCACTTACTACCAGCTGAAAAGCCAAGATATAGTCTAGTTCTAGACAATAACACGATTGCACACATCAAGTCCAAACCTGGCAAACTCTTGCAACTCGCGTTTTGGACGTAAATCACGTAATCGTAAATTGTTTCTTTCGGAAAAGGAAACGACTTCCTGGGCTTCTGCGGAATGTCTTAATTCACTAATCTTAATGAAATAAAAATTATCGCAGAGGATCGCGGAGTGTTACTTAAGTCGCACTCGTCCCTCGTAAGGACCTCCTCGGTCAGACGCCGGCGCAAGACTAACCAGCGACTGTCCGCCAGGAACTTAGCCAGCTTCCCGATCGCGAGTCATCCGTTTCCCCGGTTGTTCCCCCGCGCAATGCTGTCATTGGTCGCCGAAAAACAACGCGACCGGCAAAACGCATGATCGCTCATTAGACTGATGGGGTTTAGCATTCAAAATTCCATACTCATGTTGCCTCAATATCTGGTCGATGAGCAGATTTTATTGACCATATTGACGCGAGTACCGTATCACGTGCACACGTTTTTCTGCACAATTGAGGCAGAAAAGGGGGGCGTGAGTGAATAACGCATGAAAAACCATTGGTGTTGGTCATAAGGAAAATAATGAACACATAATTCTGTTTTGTACTTACTCTTTTACAATGCTTCAAGTTATTTTGATGATTCATACATGATTATTTAAAAACAATTGCGGTATTCACAGCACGAATATAAGCACCCTCTTTCCAATTTTAGAAGCTCGAAAATGCGTGTATATTTCGGGTGCTTATACCGTATTTTAAAATGTATACAATTTTCGTAGATATGCGTATGCATTGGAAAATCTCCCTGTTCGCAGACAGCTAAACAATCGAGCACTTGTTTTTCTTCAGTACTTTTGGGATTGGCGTTAAAAAAAAGAAATATATATATTCGAGGAATGGTTAGCTTCAAGATGCTTTAGTCTTAGTGCTTCAAGATGCATTAGTCATTGACTGAAGGGGAAGAGAGCAAGTGTTGTGTGACAGTATTTTTCTGTCATTGGGAGAGACCTAAATTTAGTCAGGAATTTGGCATTCCTGGAAAGCCAGAACACCGCGGAAGTATTTCAAGTGGGTGCTTATAAATAGTTGCCAATTAATTCAGTTTTGATTTTGTGCAAGTTGAATATTGGAGGTACTGTATTGCCTATCTTTAAGGGGTACTCATGTTTCCGTGATTACGGTACTGTATTTGAAAAAAAATACGTGTTAAACCCGTAAAAATTTGGCAAATTTTCTCAGGGACATGATTTTGGGCAAATTCTAGGCAAAAAAAATTAAGGTGCGCGTTTCACGGCTCCACAAAACATGGTACTTGAGTAAACAGGGGTAGTTCAGATGAGATAGCATGCATAAAAAGTTGTTCATCTCCAAACTTGTGAATACACTTTGAATAAAATTCATATTCTATAAAAGGTCAGGAAATATTGTAATGTTTGGTAATAAAAAAGGTGGGTATGCGTTCAACTTGAAATATGTTTTCCTAACATTTTCTGAGAAGAAACTTCAATTCGCGTTTTAAGCAT